GGAACTGGTTTGGTTCTCAGCATCCTGCTGGGGGAAAGAGGCTCTAGGGCGCCTCCTCCGCGGTGGGGCGGGCTGGGCAGGCCTCGGGCGCCCGATCTTTGAGCTCCGGGGCGCTCGCTCCACCCACCTCCTTCGCCTTCCCTCTTATCTCTTCAGGAATCTCCCTGCACTTTGTCCCGGAGCTGCGCCGTCCCGCGCCTAGCAATCGGTGGAACGACCTGGCTGCAGCAGGTGACTCGGGCTTGTCTGCCTCGCCCTTTGGGTGACCTTGACCCTCCCAGCTGCACCGGGGCTGCCCGGGGTCCTGGCCGAAGCCCTCCCAGGGAATTGAGAAGGGCTCTCCCCCTGCTGCCCCGCCGCTCTTTGGCTCTAGGCTCTGCTTTCTGCGTTCTCTCCTCCTTCATAAGCTTTCCTAAGTTGGTTGAAGCAGCTACAGGTGAATGTGAGCCAGTGCTATGGGGCATCTCCCTGCCCTTTTCGGAGTTGCGTTCGTTTCGGCAGTTTCCCCAGCATCTGTTGATTCTGCAAATTAAGGGCTTCAGGTTTTTTTTTTTTTAAGAGGATATTTTGCCTTTTTACTCAAAATTCCAACCTCCTCTTTGTTCTTTTCCCTCAAGAAATGGTAGTTCTTGCTGCCAGCTCCTTACCACCTTAACGAGTTCAATCTCCAAGCAATAGGGAGCTGTAGAAGGTTTCTGAGCCAGGGAGAGACCCAGGTATGATTAAGGTTGTGTTAGGAGAGTGGCAGGGGAGAGGCAGGGGCAGAGGCAGAGGCAGGCAGCCTGGAGCAGTCTGGGCCAGAGAGGGTGGGGGTCCAGTAGTGGCACCAGTCATGAGTGATGGAAGGTGTCAGAGGCATTTCCCCCTTGGTCCTCAAATGTTTGGGACCAGCCCAAAGCATTCCTTCACGACAGCTTATATATACATGTGTAATCCATTTATGAATATTTCCTATGCGCCAGACTCTTTCTGTACATCGTCATTTGATCTACCCAGTGACCTTAGGAACTAAGTATCATTACTATTCCCAGTTTGCAGAGAGGTTAGTATATCTGCCCAAGGTCACCCAGCAGGAAGCAGCAAAGCACAGCAGGTCCGCGGGACAAGGTAGCCTTTGTTCTGGTACTGAGGGGTTTGACATTCAAGCCAGGCTTATCAAGTGCAAATCACTCACACTGTGACAAACTCCAACCTGCTCTATCTTGAGCCCTCCTCTCCCCACACCCTCCCTCACAACTTCTGTCTAGGGAAGTTCTCCCGGTCTTTCGAGACTGGCCCATGTCCACCTCCTCCAGCCAGCCTCCTGTTTACCCGAGCTGGGAGTGAGCCTCTCCTTCCCCAGCCCCTGTTTCTACTACTCCTTTGGCACCTGGCATAGATGCCCTTGTGTTCTGTTTCTTTTTTTCTTGCTCTGATATGTCAAACTGTAATTTTTTTCCCCCAGTACTTGGAGGCTGAGGCATGAAGATCGCAAGTTAGGGGACCTGGGCTACATAGCAAGACCTTGTCTTAAAAAACAAAACAAGACAGGAATTTAGCTCAGTGGTACTGCTGCCTGCCTCTAAAGAGCAAGGCCTGGAGTTTGATCCCCTGTACAAAAAACAAAACAAACAAACAAACAAAACAAAACAAAAAAAACCACACAAACCTATAAACTAATATATATTTATACTATCCTCATACACCTAGTAGGTACAAAAGAATTACTTGTTACCTGTTCTGATTTGGCAGCCTGGGAAAATGTTACGTGTGTGTGTGTGTTGGAGGAGAGCATCTGTAGCTGAGCCTCCTAGCCTACTCACCTATCCTTGCCCCATACTGAATCTGCAAGACACTAAAAGCAACTTGTATATTTGGTCAATTCATTAAAAAAATAACAAACAGTGATTAGATGGTTTCTTCCTTGAGCCAACAGGCCAAAGCCACCTGCCAGTCTCTGCTGACTCCTCAGAAACCAGGCCCAAATCCAGAGTGGGCCCCAAGCTTTCAGGCTTTCATTTTCAAAATGAGCCCTGACTGACAAGCAGCTACTTCCGTTGTTCTGGAAACTCCCCTCTGCAACCCCAAATCTGTAAACATCAAACCACACACATGCACTCACACTTTGAGAATATGCAAACAGCTGCAGCAAAAAAAGAAAATCTAAAGCAAAATGCCAGCTTGGAGAATGGAGGACTGGAGAGCTGCTTAGACTATTAATTTTCCTTGCCATTGACCAAGTAATTCCTTTCCTATCAGCAGTCATAATATCTCTGCTTCCACTTAAAAGGCTGCAAAAGCAGCTGCCTGACCAGTGCCACAGTCCCATGATGCACATGCCCTTGCCTTGCCTTTTGCCAGAGAGCAAAGCCACTGTGCCTTCTGAGCAACTCGTTACATCTTTTCTTAGCATGGGCTTTTCCTTAGGACGCCAGGTACATACACCCGGCCCCAGAAGCACAGTGCCCATCTCTGGTTCAGTAGGGAGGCTCTCTGTTATATGATACCAGACAGGTAGAGGGAGTGGAAGGCAGAAAGGATAATACCAACCCACTTATGACTCAGATACCAGTCACCTGACGCATCTTCATCTCTTGTGGCTCTGGGGATGGAACTCAAGGTCTCATGTGTGCTAAGCAAGTGCTGTGCCACTAAGCCACTTTCCTAGCCCCTATCTGCTACTTTCCTGCAAGAGAAAGGGCAAAAATCCCTCAAATCCTTGGCAGTGGCCTTCTAAGCTGCTGGGTATAGAGTGGGTATTTGCATTGCAGATGGTAATACCTAGTGTCTTGATCAAATAGCAGCCTCTCCAATGCCTTTATGGGTTTATTTACAGATCCTGAAATCTTAGAATGACAGGGGAAAGAGAAACAAAGCTAAAGTGTTAGATGAACATTGAAAATCAATCTCAATAGAGAGAGAACGGCTCAGAAATCATACTCGGAATCATCGGGAAGCATGATTGGTCTGTAAACATTTATATGCAGCCTCCCTGGAACATACCCCTCGAGGGAAGCCAGAGGCCCTCCGTGGAGTTTGCCAGTGGGACTTTTATTCAGAAAATTCCATGAGTGCCCACCAGGCCAGAGGGAGCTGTATGGTTCGAACATGGGAAGCCAATCCCTCAGATTTCCATAGCCCTTGGTCCTGAAGGGAATGAGGCACATTCTTGAGATTCCAGATATAATGTGAGTTTCCTTTCCTCTAAAGACCTGTGCTCATCCTGATTCTCAGCAAGAGAGAAAGCCACTGGTGTGTGCACCAGATGTTTCAGCACGGTGTTTGTGTGTACACTGCCACATGTCGCTGTCTCTGGTTGCCATTTTCCCCTTCCCAAGTGTCAGGGCTTTGCTGCCAGAGGTCTCATTTTGAATACCTTTTTCTTAGGTTACAGAACAAGTCGTATTTAGTTAACACTTAAGAAACTCTTGCCTAGTATTTTGGAACCACTTTCTCCCCCAGTCCTTCAGTAAAATCTGATCTACCCATTGGAAAAAAGTTATCTTGAAAGCTGGATAAACTTGGAATAGTAGAAGGTGGTGGGACCAAGCTGACACATATGTGACCCACGTGACCAGAGCTGTTCTAAATCACTGGGGGGGTGGACAGGGAGCGGGCAATCTTTAGACCTGAGTGGAATCAGGAAACCTTCGTAAGGCTCACACTGGAACGGCTTGACTGGAGCCCGGCGGTCAAACCTGGACCCTGAAGTGTGACAAGAAAAACTTGCCATTACACGTTGTATTGATACCGCGATGAAAAGGTCATGTCCTGGAAAAGAGCGAAAGTAGTACCACGTAGAGACACACGAGGGCGCTCTAGCCAAGTGGCGATTGAGAAAACCAGAAAGACTGAGGAGGTTTCACCCCTGAGAGAGGCGCCGCAGGCCCTTCGCTGAGAATTCAGGATAGCGCCTTTGACCCTTTGACCTGGCTGCTCACCTCTGCCCCCTGTAAGCAGCTGCGCGGAAGGTGAAAGGTGATACCTTGGCCAGGGGTTGGTGTGGGAAGCCCGGAATGTCAACTCAAAGAGAATGCGAACCATCCGGAGAGGGAAGGAGGCTAGTGAATGGTAAAAGTACCTCCTCATTTTGAGAGGAGTTGGCTTTAGTGATATGCAAGGTTTGGCATAATACTCGCAAT